TCTATCTGCTGGGGGGCACGCGACCCGCCCTTTCCCCGTGTCCCCTTCCTCCCTACCCCCGTCTTTGAAATGTGGGTGTGACCGAAGGCCGTCCCTCGCACCCCAACTCCCTCAGCCTCCCATCCACCTCAAATGAAAACACCTCTGTTTTTGATGTGGTCAGGAGACATTTTCTCAATCCCCTGGAAAGTGGGAGTGAAGACATTTTACACAACTTTGCTGTTTCTCCGGGTCCGAAAAGTATTATCTAGGTGGAAATGGTGACTTCTGGTAGACAAAAACGCAGGTCAGGGCAGTTCCCTGCACCCTGCCTCTCCCACCCCAAGCAGAGCCCCTCCCCCATTTAGAGATGCTGTTGGGAACACGGGGAAGGAGCGGACTTGGTGACTACTTTTGTTTTATTATGATCTCTGCGTTGGTTAGCATTTTTAAAACTTTATGGAAGAATAACATAAATACATACAGAAAAGTGCAGCTTTCATGAGTACACAGCTCAATAAATTTTCACAAAATGTACTTTTGCAAAATAACCAGCATCCAGATTAAGAAGCAGAGCATCACCAACCCCCGTGCAGAAGCCTCCCTCGTGGGGGCTGCCAGCCACTTCCCTGGAGGGGATGCTGTCCTGGCTTCTGTTTTGATTAGTTTTGCCTGATCTTATACTTTATGGAAATGGCATCACGAGATACTTGGACAGCATTTTAATGGTTATAAAACACGTTGCACTACAGAAATGGAGCTTCGGGGAGGTGGTCAAGACTCTCCCAAAGAACTCAGGTGCTCCTGAGGCTGCCTGGACCCCATCCTACCTGCAGGTTGGTGCCGGGAGGCTCTGGGTGGGTGAGACCCAGGTGTGGGAGATCCAGTTTCCAATGGGGCCCTGCTCTCTCTCCCAAAGCCTCCTCTGGCCCCTTCCCCAACCAGAGTAGGGTGCCTGCCTTTCTCTGTGTATTCCTGACATGGGCTGGCCCTGGGGACTCACGGGTGACCAGTCCCTGCCCTCAAGGACTCTTGGCAGAGGGAACTGTGGTGGATCCCAAGTCTTCTGGATTCACTCAGCAAACGCATAGCAAGGTTCCTGTGAGGGCCCACCCTGTACATAGCCCCAAGCTGGGCACTGGGGACACATCCGTGACCCTGACAACCTCTCTGGTGCTCACATAGGACCTGGTGGGCAGGGAGGCCCTTTGGAAGGCACCTCTGCACATGTGCAGTACCATGAGGAGGAGGCTGGGGGTGGGAGCAGTGCACAGAGGCCTCGGACAGTGTCCCGAAGCTTCCAAGCTGAGAGGAAAGCAACAGCACGGAGTCCCTCATTCTCCTTGTGAACCTGGAATCTCTGCGAAGGGCCCTGCGTCTGCCCCACCTAATTCTCAGGACTCTCAGGCCAGTCCTGCTTTACTCAGTTCACAGAATTACACAGTTCTGAGTCCCCTCTCGGAATCTCGGCTTCCTTCCCTGTCTGAAGGGCCAGTGATGCCTATCCTTTCTCTAGCCTGGAGGCAGGGGCCGCTGAGGTGGGAGACAGCCCTGTGAGGCCTGACCAGGTCCATGGGGTCAGTGGTCCTGCTGGCCCTGCTTGCCAGGAGGTGGCTGGCTCACGGGTGGGGTGGGAATCAGGGCTCTTCTCCATCACCCGGCAGCATCCTCTCGGCCATCTGGGTTTCCACAGGGACCTGGAGACCTCAGCCAGCTCTGGGGGAGTCTCCCATGCACCCCTGGGGAGTCTCGGGAACTCAGCCAGACAAGGTCTGCTGCTAGCTCCAAGTCCCTGTGTTATCACAACTCAGGACCTAGGGTTGGGGTCTAACACCCTTTGTCCCAAGATTTCTGGGTTCTGCCCCTAAGTTCTGCAGGCTCTGGGGTGCTTCTTCCACCACAGGGATCTGGGGTGACTTGCCAGCTCTCTCAGCTGTGCTGTGACTGCTCCAGGCCTCAGCCACAGCAGGGCCAGACTCCCCTCAGCCGCCACAGGGTGGCTGTGGATTCTGGAGTTCTTTGTCCCCGTTCTTCCGGGCACTGGAGTTCTACTGGCTGACCTTGCTGATCTATAATCCGCACCCCCTACACCTGGTTTCAGCTCCCTCAAGATTCTCGGTCTGCTTGGGTCCTAGCCCCCTTTCCAGACTGCTGGGTCCTAGCCCCTCTGGAATTTAGTTTCTCTGCATTCTGCACTAAAGCTGCAACCTCCTAGGACCTGTGGGTGCGCTTCTCTCCCCAGAGACTCTGAACACAGGAAAATCATCGAGGACCCTGATAGCTCTCAGGCCTTGGATGGAGAGGGGTCTCTGGGGTCTGGGGAAGAATCAAGCACCGGGACAGGCCATCCCCGCCCCAGGCCTGCCATGGGCTCCCCTCTAGTAAGTGGCCTCGTTCACAGCCCTGCGGAAAGGGTGGGCTGGGTAAGGCGGACATGTTGTACCAGGTGATATCACATCCTGGACATAGCTGATTGGGCCAGAGGTGGCCACCTGGCCCATCCTATTCAATAGATTTGCTCTCTTGAGAATTTGAATTGAGACGGGCAATTCCTATTGGGCTCCGGAGTCCTGAGATCACGGGAAAGTCAGACTGAGCAGTTACGGAGCCCCGCAGTTACTGTTGAGCAAGAACAAGGGGACCTGTAGAAGCAGCTGGTCAGTGGAGATGGCCCTAGAGCATAGAAAGAGGGGAAAGTGGCTCTGTGGCTGGGGCAGCCCCTGGGGGCCGCCTCCACCGCCTGCCCTGGCCCCCTCCGTGTCCCCGCCCTGTGGTGCCCTCTGACTGGAGTCTGAGTAGGTGTCTGGCTACCTGCCCTCAGTCAGTCGCAGGCAGACCTGGAACCCTGAACTTGCCCCCCACCCCAAGGTGCCAGCGGTTGTCTCTCTGGGTCAGAAACAGCCCAGCTGCCCTTCTGGCCTCCTGAGGCCCCTGAGACTCTTGCCACCCTGGGGAAAGCCAGGGCCCCTCAGCCAGGCAGACAAGCCCACACACCAGCAGCCCCACCGTCTATCTTAGTCACAGGATTTCGCTTCTCCCCCAACACGATCTCTACCACAACTGGCCGACAGGGCGGCTGGGCAGAAGCCGGCCGGCAGACATGTTTTGTTTGGCCGAGCACAGTGCTTCAAAAGAATTTGAATTGGTTGCCAACTTTGAAAAGTCAGATTTCACATAAAAATCCAGATTTCTGGCTTCTCTGGACAAACCCAAGGAGCCTGGCAGCTCTGGACCCATATTCCCGATGGCTCCAGTTCCCAAGTTGTGTCTGCCCTAGGCTGGCACACACCCTCCACCCTCCACAGTCCCCACCACTCCCTCTCGCCTCCCCCAAGCCCCCTGACTCTGTCACTCACTGCCTGCCCTGGGAGGGAACGGAGCTTCTGACCCCGGCTCCGCCCTTCCTGGTTCTGCTTCTCTGCCCCCTGAACACCCTTTCCACTGCTGTCTGCTGACATCCTGCCCACTCTCCAAGGCCCAGGTCGAATGCAGCGACCTTCCAGAAGGTGTCTCAATCTCCACATATCCAAATTCCATCTGACTCTCTCCTTCCATCCTGCTGTCCTAGGATGGGCCTTTGACCTGACTTACTGGTTTGGACCTACCTTCCCTGCCAGATTGTTCCAGAAACAACTGCTGAGACCCATCGCTCCAACTTACTCAGTACCTGCGTTCCACACAGGGTCTCATTTCACCGTCTAACCCTCTGCAGCCTGGTCTAACCCCAGATGGCAGCTAGTCACTGAGGATGTGCAGTGGGGCCAGTCCAAACTGAGATGTGCTGGAAGTGGGAAACGCACACCAGATTCTGAAGACTTAGTGCCCCCTAGGGGCACTCTTTACAAAAAGAGTAAAATCTCATTGATCTTTTTTTTTTTCATTGACATCAGTTTCTTTTAATTAATCACTGATGATCTTTTTATACTGATTACATGTTGAAATGGAATGTTTTCCATTTTGGAATGTTTTTGGACTATCTTGGGTTCAATAAAATATATGATTAAAATGAATCTCACTTGCTTGTTTTCAGTTTTTGTTTTGTTTTTTAATGTGGCTAATAAAAATATTCAACAATAAAAGTTCTATAGGCTAGAACTGTTCTAGACACTTGAGAGAAGGAAGTAGGATGGTTGTGCCCATTTTACAGATGAGAAAACTGAGGCTCAGAGGGTTGGTCAACTTGCCTAAGGTCTCACAGCTAGTGAGCGGTGAGGCTGGGACTTGAGCCTAGATCCAAAGACTCCAAGTCTGTGCTCCTAAACATGAGGCCACACTGCCCCACCACCGGTGCCCCAGGGGTACCTGGCACAGTTCGGTGCCTAGCACACGTGCATTGATTCCCCCATCGTCACATAAGTGCCCCCTCTCCCAGCTAGCTCAGGCTGAGATAAGTGTACAGGAGACCACCCTTGTCACTCCTCAGGGAAGCCCCTCACCTCTGAGCTGTGTCTCCCCCGCCACCCATGAACCTGTTTGCCTGAAGAAGGCAGAGCTTCCCTGCCCACCACCTCCCAACCCCAGGCCTGGTCATGCAAAGGCGGCCCCTCCCAGGAAGCAGCTGTGGCCTTGAATGCCCCTTTCTATGCAAACCCAGCTCTCCTGAGAGCCTGTCTATGGTTGGGCAGCTGCTACAGGCTGTGCTAGGGCTGAACCCCCACCATCAGGGCAGCTGGCGGAAGGGCAAGACTTGACCCAAGCCTGCCCAAGAGACAGAGGGCGTGTCCTGGGCAAATGGTTGCAGACCCTAGGAAACATCTACCACTCCCTACTCCAGATACTGGTCAGAGCATCGCGGGTGGCCCAGGAAGTAAATGTGGTCCCCTTCCCAAAGCTCCATATCACATTTTGGGGTAGGGCCATCACGTGGGGACCCAGCTGGAGGAAGGAGCATGGACCAGGCCTCTGATGCCTGCAGCCCAGAACTATTGATGGCATCGTCCCCTGGGGCCTAGAGACCCCAGTTACTGCCTTGCCCACCCACACACCTCGGGCTCAGTAGGAGGTGGGAGGACACATTCAGAATTCCTTTCTGGGGCCAGAGAAACTGTCCACACAGTCCCTGCACACAGGCCTGGAGCCAGCCAGCCACTTCCTCCAGCTGAAGCTGCAGTGGGCACCTGCCCCATCGGCCCACCACGGGCTTCCTCCTGAGGCTCCTCAGAGGAACTGAGAGTGGCTGAGGGAGGAGCACAGCAGGGCTGCAGAAACTGGTGTGAGATTCCAATTCGGGACAGTCACACTCACTCCTTGGACGAGTCTCACCCCATCATGGGGCTGGGCTGGCGCCGGGCCCCAGCCCCCACCCCTGATGGGCCTGGGCCAGGGGCTGGCTGGCAGCAGGGGACAGAGCCCACACAGACAGCTGTGTGCTCGGCTCTCCCACTCGCCTGCTCAGCTCAGCTCCATGGCAGGCTCACATGTCGTGACCCACCCACTGTGTCCTGGGGCCTCTTTCCCAGTCAGGATGAGCAGGGTCCTGTCGGTGGTTCTGAGACTGAGGGTGGGAGTTGGGTATCTGGGTGCCACCACTCAAGACCCCACTGAGCCTTTTCTTCCCTTCCAGAGCAAAGAGGGCACCAAGAATCATCCCTGAGGGTGAGCATGAAGGTGTCATGAGTCAAGGGAAGACTTGGCATGGGGCATGTCCCCTCTAAATATTAGCTGTGGGGTCACAGGGCTGGAAGCAGACAGTCACTGTGCCGTGGTCTGTGGAGCCTGAGACAGCAGGGACTGTCCTGCCCGGGGAGGCTGGGGGGGTTGGGGGCGGGCCTCACAGGGAAAGCTCCAAAGCCCTGGGGAGGGGTGAGGGTGTCCTTGGCAGAGGGCCCAGCAGCAGCAGACTTTGGCACCTCGCAGTTACTGAGATGTGGAGAACAAATAGAATGAGGGGACCTGGCCCCTGCTGGGCCTCCCTGGTTTGTGTCTGGGACTGGCTGAACGGTCTCACGCCGTCTCTAGCCTTGTCCGGACCTCAGCCACCTTCTCTGCCTCAGTAGACAGGAACCTGCCAGGCGAAGTGGTACACGTAGACAGGACTCAGCCTGTCCCCCAGGCCACTGCTCCCCCCAGGCCACTGCTCCCAGCCCACCCTTTGGTTCCGGAACAGTGCCCAGCTGGAGAGAAGGGGAGATTTCCTCCAGGCTGGCCGCCAGCACACACTGCCTGCCCTGTGTGGTCCTCCCCCACTCCACGCCCTACCCAGCATCACCGCTCCTCCTCACCCAGTCCTTCCTTCCCAGCCTCCTGGGGCCCGGGTGGGCAGTGCACCCACCCCGCCCCTCCAAGCAGCCGCATTCCTCTGTCCACTTTGGCCAATGGGACAGGTAACTGGAGGGGGCTCCTCACACTCAGGACACCTGTCGTTTACGCCCACTGGACACCCATTTTCCTTCTGGGAGCAGCGTTTTCTGCTGTGCTTTGTGGAACACACGCCCCATGTGATCTCTTTCCACAGCAGACCCCAGGCCTACCCATAACTTTCCATGCCCTCGGGCCACAGGGATGGATCAGAGCAGGACCATGCCAGGCTGGGAAAGGCTCCTGCTCCTCTGGGCCTGTGGCCTGGCGGGGAACCAGAGCCTGGGGCCCAAGACGAGGGAACAGAGGAGGGGACCGAGGCCCAGGACACTGTGCCCTGCAGGCCTCCGCAGGCCAGACCTGGACTTCTATCTCCGGTACTGAAGTGTCCTGACAGAATCAGAGTTGCCAACCTGAAGCTGTATGCTCTGCTGGACCACTTATGGGCTGAACTACAAAAAAACACAGCAAAAATAACAGCCAGCAAGGACCGTGCCCTTGCTCTATGCATGCGGTGTCTGAAGTGCTCCATGGGTCACCCCAATTAGTCCCCTCAGCTGCCCCACGATGCCACAGGGGTCATTTACACGACTTTCCCAACTTTTGACATCTAGGAAGTGGCCAGGTTGGGATCCAAACAGAGGCCGTAGGGCTCAGCATCCCCCACTACTGGTCCTGCCTCCCGAGGAGCTTAATCTCTCTGTGCTTCTGTTTCCTCACCCACAATGGGGATAATAAGAGAAATGGCACATGCCCCGAGGCCTCGGCCATGAACATTCTAGAAGGACTTGTCCCACCATATGGCCCTGATCTTGGAGGCAGAGTCCAGGCCCGAAGCCCCGTGCTGGCCACTGCTGCCCCCAGCCTGAGCTGCCCCGCTCCAAGCCTAGCTGCAGGGCCCAGGCTGCCCAGCCCAGCCAGCCCTGGGAGGAGAGGCTCCTCAGCCTGCCCTCTCTGCCCTCAAGGCCCCCAGGGGCCTCATGCTCAGGCCTGTCTCCTCTGCCAGCAGTGGCTCTCAGGAGGGACCCTGCCCTCCCCCACCGCGGCTGAGTAAGTGACCCACAGCAGCATGTGCACGGTGAACAGGACACAGGCTCTGGCCAGAGGGTGGCGGCCAGGTAGACCAGGTGTCGGAGTGCCCTCCCAGGAAAGTGGGCCTGCACCTACCCCCGAGGTCCTCGATGATGTCCAGGGTGGAGCTCCAGGAGAAACGCTCCACGGCCCCCAGCTCCAGCTCGGCCAGGGCACCAGGCAGGGCCTCCAGCTCATAGGCACCCCGCTTCCTCCAGTAGAGAAACATGCTGAGACCCGGGGAGGCCTCCCCGCCAGGCCCGTGCCCTCTGAGGCTGGGCGGCCCCGGGGACCCAGGTCCCCGAGGCCTGGACACAGTGGGTGTAGGGGCTGTGGAAGGGCTGCAGAGACCCTGGGGCTGGCCTCAGGGCCGGACAGCGCAGCCCTCCCCGGGGAGGGGAGCATGCTGGGAGCGGCTGGGGGCCTGGGAGCTGACCAATGGCCAGGGCCCCAGCCCCACACAAAGCGCCTTTCTTCCCCTCCTACAGACATTTTACAAATTTCAACTTCCCGGCCCCCTCGGAGCCCCCACCAAGGGGATGGGCCAGCCGTCTGGGGACGGCAGAGGCCCGGAAAAGAGTCCGATTGTTCCATGATCTCTTTGCTAAGATAAGTTTTCAGAGGAGAAAAATGTGCTGCCCCAGGAGCAATTCCAGCCCCCTACCCCTGACCTCTGTCCCCAGCCCCCAGCCCCAGCTGGGCCCTACAGGATTTCTCAATGAGGAGTGGAAGCACCCACGGGGTGCTATGGGATGACCCCCAGAGCTGCCTGACTCGGCCCCCTCCCCAGGAAGCACAGGGCCTGTCCCTGGATCCACGGAGCAAAAGCCGGGAGGAGGCCTCCCAAGGGTCAGAGGGCAGGAGCTGTGGGCCAGCCCTTAGCCTAGGCTGCCAGTGAGGCCCAGAATCTGCCCTCTGGGCTCTTACGAAGGGCCTTCCCCTCCCTGGGCCGGCCAAGCTTCACCAGGCTGCCCATCCACCCCTGTCTCCCTCCTCAGACTGTGTCACCTACACCCATGGCGGCGCCAGGCACAGAGCCCTGGGCAGGCCAGAGCCATCTTCACGGAGCTCACAGCCACCTGCACAGCGGGCACGGGGTGGGTGGGGGTAGGGAGGTTGGCTCGGGCAGGGCGTGGAGGAGCTGGGGGGTGCAGAGCCACTCACGGAAAGAACCAGGAGAAGAATGAACAACAGCTACGCAGAAAAATGAAAGTCATCGGTCAAATTATTCCTGAGCCTCTGGAAAAATGGCAAATTTGTATCTATTTGGAAAATAAAACTAAAAGGCACGGCCACCTTTCCGTGGAGAGACCTCTGCCCTCTCATACCCAGGAAAGCAGCGTCTTCCTGGTTGTTCTGGTTCTCCCCAGGGAGGTGGGATTACCCCACAGCACAGATGAGGAACCTGGGGCTCAGCTACTAAGAAGCAGGACTGGAATCCGACCCCAGGACTGCCTGGCTTCAAAGCCAACACCGGGGCCTGGACAGCCATCGGGGGGAGAAGGCCGGGTGGTCGGAGGGCAGCGGGGTGGCCCTGTGGACATCCAGACTGAACAGGGGAGGACATCGTGCTCGGCCTCCCAGCCAGCCTCTGCCGTGTTGCCCAGCCTCCCAACCTTCCAGGGTCCGAAGGAGCTAGTCT